CCCCCGCCCCTTCCCATTTCTCCTCACACTCCTTCACCTGCTGCCCCTTCACCCGCTCCTCCTCCCGCTCCTCCTGCCACTCTTCCTCCTCCTGCTGCTCCTCACGCTCCTCCTGCCAGTCTTCCTCCTCCTGCTCCTCCTCCCGCTCCTCCTCCCACGCCTCCTCCCACTCCTTCCCCCGCTGCTCCCGCTCCTTTTCCCGCTCCTCTGCCAAACAACGTGACAAAGATCCCGCCATATCCATCTCCTACGAAAAAAAAAGGCTCCCGCTCCTTCTTCCACGCATCCTCTGGCCCTTTCCGTTTCCCCTCCCGCTCCTTCTCCCGCTCCTCCTCCCACTCCTCCTCCTCCCACTCCTCCTCCTCCCACTCCTCCTCCTCCCACTCCTCCTCCTCCTCCCACTCCTCCAGCTCCTCCTCCCACTGCTCCCGCTCCTCCTCCCGCTCCTCCGCCAAACAACGTGACAAAGATGTCGCCATAGCCATCTCCTACGAAAAAAAAAGAAAAAAGGCTCCCGCTCCTTCCGCTCCTCCTCGCGCTCCTCCTCCCTCTCCTTTTCCCGCTCCCCCTCCTGCTGCTCCTCCACTCCTCCTGCTCCTCTTCCTCCCATTGGTTATCCTGCTATTACCCCCGTCCCTCCTCCCGCTCCTTTCCCCCCTCCTTCTCCCGCTTCTCCTCCTCCTCCTGTACCTCCTCCCGCCCCTCCTACGTGCCACGCGTCAATCCGCCTCTTCACGTATGCGGGTCCTCGCGCTCCTTCTCCCACCCCTGCTGCCGCTCCTTCTCCCGCTTCTCCCCCCTCACCTCCTCCGCCCCTTCCTGTTTCCCCTCCCGCTCCTTCTCCCGCTCCTTCCGCTCTTCCTCGCGTTCGTTAACCCCCTCCCCCGTTTGTCCTCCCGCTCCTCCTCCCGCTCCTCCTCCCCCGCTCCTTCTCCCGCTCCTCCTCCCGCACCTCCTCCGCCCCTTCCCGTTTCCCCTCACACTCCTCCCGCTCCTCCTCGTGCGCCTCCTACCGCTCCTCCTGCTGCTCCCACTCCTCCCGCTCCTCTGCCGAACAACGTGACAAAGATCCCGCCATAGCCATCTCCTACAGAAGAAAAGAAAACTCCCGGTCCTTCTCCCGCTACTCCCGCTCCTCCTCCCGCTCCTCCTCCACCAAACAACGTGATCCTACCTGCCGGACGAGCCCCCCCCTCCTCCTCCTCCTCCCGCTCCTCCTCCCGCTCCTCCTCCCGCTCCTCCTCCTGCTCCTCCTCCAGCTCCTCCTCCAGCCCCTCCTCCCGCTCCTCCTCCCGCACCTCCTACTGCTCCTCCTGCTGCTCCCGCTCCTCCTCCGCCAGACAACGTGACAAAGATCCTACCTGCCAAACGAGCCCCCTCGGTCCTCCTCCTCCTACCGCTCCTCCTCCCGCGCCGCCTCCCACTCTTCCCACTGCTCCCCCTCCTCTTCCCGCTCCTTGATCAACCTCACCACATGGAACTGACTCCCCTACTTACTGATTCACTTCCCCCTGAACGTTCCCCCACTCCAAACGACAATGACCCACCCTCTGATCCTTGATGGAACCCCCAACTCTGTGTGTGTGTCTTGTGTCTGTCCGTCTGTCTGCCTGTCTGTTCTCTCTCTCTCTCTCTCTCTCTCTCTCTCTCTCTCTCTCTCTCTCTCTCTCTCTCTCCCTCTCTCACACTCCCTCTCCCCCCCCCCCCCCCCCCCCCCCCCCCGCCCTCCCCTTCACTCCCCTCCACTCCCCTCCCAGAATGTCATAAACAGTTCAAGAGTAGGAGAGTGTGTATGAATGGTGCAGAGGCTGGACAACCTTGAGGACAGAGACATGAAAGCCGCCGTCTTCATCCGATAGAGTGCTCACTGCCACCCAGTCATTATAGCTGTATTTGGGGTAACTTTCAGTCCAGATCCAGTGACAATGACCAGGCATTCGATTCGGGTGAAGATGGTAGGGTAAACTGTCAATATGACAAGGGGCAGAGAAAGATCAGGGAAGCAAATGATCATGTGGGGAGAAAGAGCAGGGCAGCAGATGAGCAGGTGCAGAGTTCAAAATTATCACTGACACTGCGACAGCGGGATTGCCACCTAGCCTGTGGCTGAATGGTACACACTTGTGAATGTTGATAGACAGACTACGAGTTCAAATCCTGATTAATATCACAGCACCAGGAGCTAACACCACCTTTTCTTTTGTAAGGAAAAAAAAAAGGCCTACGGAATCGAGGACAGCAAACGCAGCACTACTCAACTGGACAGCAAACTGGAGAGGAAGATGCTCTGTACATCCAATTACACACACTACAAAAAAAAAACACACACAAAGTTAAACAATTCTCATCTACTTTATTACAGTTGCTGACACCTGCAGCAACAGCACCTGGCTGGTGCAGGATGCTGAAACAGCATCCTTTGTCGCTTTTTCCCACCTACTCCCATGCTGGTGAAAAACGAATAGCCCAACGGAGAAAGGAAGGTAAATGAGAATAGCTACAGTCAACCCTGTCAAACCTCCAACCCAGTCCAGCTGCCCCTGCTCCAAGAATGAGACAGTCATCACTCTTTTTGTGCAGTCTGTTCTACGAACTCATATCCATGCCATGTAAGACACCTGGCAGACACTGTTTGGTCTCGCCACACTGCTGTCGAAAGGCCGAAAAATTTGACGGCTGTCAGAATACATTCGACAGTTTGCTCCCCCGTTTAGCCTCACAGCACTGTCGAACGGACACACTTGTGAATGCAAGATGGAAAAAGAAGAACGCTCCTGAGGGTACGTACCACAAGCATTAGTCCATCCCGACCTCACGCCCAGTCACCAATCTTCGAGGAGAAGTCGATCGTGCACCCGAGGACTGTCGAAAGCATCAGAGTAGCAGGCTGGGGATTCAACAGCTTTCGGAAGGAAGGAGGTGTCGAGAAGCATTCTCTGACAACTTACTTGTGAATTTTCTTCCCGTCTCCAATTTCGACAGGCTGTGTGTGGCCAAGAGAAACTATCGAAAATCGTGTTTTCGACAGTGGTGTGGCAAGCCCCTAACTCAGTTAGCAGTCTTCGTGGGTAGTTAAGTTTGGGCCATGTCATGCCCGGAAGCAAGCGGATGGTTCAGTTATAGTTTACCACAGATTTACATCACAAGATTCACAGCGCATAGCGATTGCGTTACTACTCACTACTCACGCCGGAATCTTCTCTCCAAGGCTTCCATCTTTGGATCGACAGACCCTACCTCAGTAAACCCAGTTGGAGTGTCGCTCAGTCCGGGGGACATTTGCGCTGTCCTCCAGTGATTCATATACCAGCCTCCATGGTCAGCACCGGCCCGAGGTCGATCGTCAGCAATCGCCCGACCATTATTCGGAACTCGATCACGATCGAAGTATAAACGACCTGGCTGATTCCTCTCAGGTGGGATATGGGCATCCACACCAAGAGCATGTCTCCCATCAACACTACTACCCATGTCCTCACCCTCTCCTTGATTGTCCCCTGCATGGGCTCCTGTTCTTCTCGGCATCGGGTACCACATGCCATGTGGCCTGCTGAACCGCATGTCGTAAGCAGAACGCCTGGCCATGCCATTATCCCACCCCCACATTGGCGCATTATTTGCATACGCGTTTCCTGTTCGTGCAGCTGTGTGATGGCCTCGTCCGTAATCCGGGAGGGCCCCTCGCCCTACAGCAGGTGCTGCAATGTCCCATCGGAACGTATCGTGCCAAGAAAAACTCGCGAGGTCCTCCTGAAGGTCTGGATTGATGAATTGCCTCGCATTCGAAAACTGCCGGTTGCAGAACCCAAAACCGTCATCTCCACTGCCATCACTCTTTCCCTCTCCACCAGCCCCATCCGCTTGTCCCTCCTCTCTCGCCCCCATAGAACCTGCTTTATGGATGGCAGCATTAGCATATTGAACCTTTGCAGATGCATCAGACACTGGCACCCGAGAAGAATGTGGTCTGTCAACTGTGGCAGGTGCAGTCTCAGCACGGACGAACTGCTCATTTGCCACATACTCTGAGCCTCCGCACAAGCCGTCAGCCCTGGCAGCGCACAAATGATCTACGCAGGCAGATTTCCCACATGGTTGACAGGCAATTGCACAATGACCCTCCTCTGTGCAGGGAGACTTCTCACATGCGTGACGGGCAATGACACAATTACCCTCCTCATCAGCTTGTCGTTCACCTGCTACGAGCCCTTTCCCCCATGCTTGATGACATCCAGGCCTCCCCTTCACTCCCTCCATGGCTGCCGTGTGTTCTCTCTCCGCTGCATTGCAGGCTGTTCTCTCTGGCTGTGGCGAAGCGCAGCCTCTCCTCACCTCAGGACTGCAGCCCCCCATTGACAGTCGCCTAGGAATCGAGGGGAAGCCATCATCAAGATGCTCTCTGGCTCGACGATCAAATTTTGTCCGCAACTGAGAACCCAGACTTGGCAGGTCTTCTCTGCCAGCTGCAAGCGTTCTACTCCTGTGGCAATCTGTATCGAGAGTGGCATCCCCCTGCGAAGGAAGTCTTCGCCTCTTCCTGGGGACAAGGCCTTCTGCACTGGAATGTGTCAGTTCATCATTCGCTCGCTCTCCCTCACTCTTCTGCAAGTGCCTGCCAGAAATATCCTCACCTCTGCGACCTACGTTGTGATTGCCCCCATGGCCACCATCCTGAAAACTGCCAGGGCTTTTGGCATCCTCGGGTAATCCTGCTATCCTTGGCGTGCTCTCTGATCCACCACGCTTTGTGTCTGTGGCTCGGTGTATTCCGGTGTAATTGGACCTATGTTCCGCTTCCCTGTTCTCCTCTACCATGGAAACTCCCTTGTCTGTTTTCCTCATGTTTCTCGTTCCTTCCTGCTCCACCAGCTCCGCATTCCTTAGCTCACCTGACTCCACTCCCTGCCGTGGACTCGGCTCAGTCCTGATGCCATCTGCTACCTTGTGGTGTGTTCCAAAGTGATTAGACTTAATTCCCTCTCGTCTGTTGTCTTCTCCCATATGAAGTCCCCTGCCTGTTTTCCTGACGATTCTCCTTCTTTCCTGCTCCACCCCCTCATCATTCCTTCGCTCACCAGACCGCAATCCCTTTTCTGGACTTAGCTCACTCCTGGTGCCACCTGCCGTCACACACTTCAACTTTCCTGATTGAGTAAAACTGCTACCTCCTCTAGTATTACCTGCATCACGTCTGCTTGTTTCAAACTTCTTCATGTTGTAGTAATTGCCTTCTAACTGCCCACTGGCACTAAGTGCAGCGGTCAAAGGCTCCTTGATCCTCCTCTTTTTCATTCGATGCTTCACGCTGCTCTGCCAGACATCTGCGAGCCCAAGACCAAGAGTCTGAACTGGCAAGTGTTCTTGCTTGCCTTTGTGACCAGACTGCTTCCAGATAACTCCAGCAGCAACGTCATCACACGTGAAAGGCAAAGCGTTCTCGTTGTTTCTCTTTGCACGCGGTGTGCCCACATTCCCATTATCATTATTTCCCTTTGCACGGGGGGGTGTTGCCTCCTTCCAGCAAGCCTTATCAGCATCTCCCAAGCCTCTCCCACTCCCTCTCCCTCTCCCTGGGTCAGCACCTGGGACTGCCGCTGGGACTGGTACTGGGACCGACCGCACTTTCTTTCTGCCTTTCCCTATCCACCCCTTCCCATGGCAATACGGACACGGATACACAACACGGCTGTGATCGTTGGCTTTTCGTAGCCCCACTGGCTTTGCCAGTCGATTGGACAGGGACAGCGCCTTGCAACCCATTGCCTTCCTGGCGCCCATGCTCTTCATCTTCCTTCCCTCTTTGGGACCACCGCCAACCGTAAATCCTCTTGTCGTTTCAAGTTCGCATTCGATCCCCCCGGGCAAACTACGGTCGCCCTCGCCCTTCTCCCTTGTCGTGCACAGATCCTCTGGCTTTTTCTCAGCAGTAAGGGAAACCGCCTTTCCATTTGCATTGGACCTCTGTTCATCCCTACTCAGGCTGGTGTTGGCCCTTTTCTGGGTCTTGTCGAGGGCTTCACCAGCCAGCTCATCACAAGCCATTGCACTAGCTTTCCTCTTCCTCCTCAGCTCTACGGGCCGTGTCGCTTCTCTTTGCAGTTGACCATTTCCCACCATGCATCTCTGTGGACTTGCACAGGTATCCGGACCCCCCACTGGATCGGCTGCATCGTTCTGTTCCTTCGGGGTCGCCCCTTGAGCAGCTTCATCACAATTCGTAGCACTATCGCTCCTTGTCTTCATGCTCGGCATTACACATTGAATCTCTTCTCTTTGCAGTTTCCCCATCTTCATCTTGGTGATGCTTTCATCACCAGCACCACTCTCATCCGCAAGAGTCCCTTCCAAACCGGAGGCCGCCTTGGAGCTCTGTCTCGAATTCTCTCTCTCTCTTTTATTGCAGCCATCGTGCATTTCTTTCAGTGCTGAAGACACGTGGCACGCCTGCCCTTCACCTGTCTCTCCTTCTCCCATCTGCGTCTCCACCTCGTAGACTCCATTCACCCTTGCATCCTCGTTCCCAATGTCTTCAAATGCACGGCGTGGGCCCGGGCCCAGATCAGGTTCTTCACCGGGACCAGGTACAAATGAGGCCAGACCAGGTTCTTCACCCGGACACGCTGCATGTAAGGCCACTCCAGGTTCTTCAATTGGACCAGGTTCACATGAGGCGAGATCAGCGGCTTCCCCTGGACCAGGTGCCCGTGCGGCCAGACCAGGTTCAGGTTCTTCACCTGGACCAGGTTCTTCACATGGTGCGTGTGAGGCCAGTTCAGATTCTTCACCTGGACCAGGTGGGCGTGCGGCCAGACCAGGTTCAGGTTCTTCACCTGGACCAGGTTCTTCACATGGTGCGTGTGAGGCCAGGTCAGGTTCTTCACCTGGACCAGGTGCGCGTGCGGCCAGACCAGGTTCTTCACCTGAACCAGGTCCACTTGCACGTGGTTCCCCAGTCACGGCACTCCCTTGATTCCCTGAGATCAGATGGACGATGGCTTCCTCACCTGCCTCACATGTGTTGTGCATGTCAACTCCAGCTCCGCCAAAGCTATCAGGAGGCCACTTGGCAGCACTTGAAAGGGAACCAACCCTGTCACAGCAGTCTGGTTGGGCCGGATCACTGTGCGTTTTCCAGACCGCTTCAGAAGCTAGTTTTTTCTGCTCTTCCTGTTTCTCTGGCTCTGCAGTAGACTCAGATCTCATGACGGAAGGCACAGCTGCAATGACAAGGCACAAAACAACCAAATCTCCACACCATTATTATTCCAAAGAGGGCACACACACCTGCTCCGGAGACCCCCAGTCGTCCAATTGAGCCCGAATGATTTAGTGGGCTTATAAGTGGCCACGTTAAACCACCAGTACATGCGCACCTGAGGGCGCAGGCCTGACACCGGCACCGCAACTTTTGGGAGGCCAGAAACGTGACGCTGGCCATTGATGATTTTTATCGACGGCGCGCGCCCCCCCGGACCAAATGTTTTCTGCAAGACCGGGGCTCTGAACTGGCGGTTTAAGAAAACCCATGACAAACAACAAAAGCAAGCATCCAGTCACATAATCTGAAAGACGTTTCTCACCTTTCTGTATATATCTCCTTTTTTTGGCTAACATTTTCACACTTAGGCCACTTGCATGAATCTCTCTCTCTCTCGCGCGCACGCGCGTGCGCGCGCGTGCCCTCTGTGTGTCTGAAAAGGGGATGGCACCTAACATCATTATATGTGATTCCCTCACGGTTCGAGCTCATGATCTCTTTACTGACATTGACATGTGTCCACCATTCCGGCTGGGTCTCTCTCTCTCTCTCTCTCTCTCTCTGAATTTCATCCTTATTGCACAGGGGCCATGGCAATCTTCTGTGTATCCTTCCAATGTCCACAAATTATCCCAAAGGGAGGTAGAGAGTGGAAGGGAGGGAGAGACGGGGAGAAGGGAGAGAGAGAGTTGAAGGACGGGACAGGGTGGAAGCAAGGGAGGGATGTGAAGGAGGGAGGGCGTAGGGGGCACAGCAGGAAAGAGGGGGAACAATGGAATGACACGGAGAGTGAAGGAGCGAGGAAGGACGAGGGAGCCAGAGCAAATGACCGAGGGAGGAAAGAAAGGAAAGGGAGGACCAGGTGGAAAGGGAGGGAGGAAGGCAAAGACGAAGAGTGAGGGAGGAAGCAAGGTATGAAAGGTGAGAGGCACAGGCGGACAGAGACAGAGACAGATGATAGAGGAGGAAGGGAGGGAGGAAGGAAGAAAAAGGGGAAGGAGGAGAAGAAGGTGGGAAGGAACCGACTACCATCTTCACCCAAATAGAACGCCCGGTCATCATCAGCGCATCTAGACTGGAATTTGCCCCAAATACGGGTATAATGACCGGGCATTCTTTCGGGTGCAGACGGTAGGGAGGGATATAGGAAAGGCAGAAAGGGAGGGCAAAAGAACAACATGGAGAGAAGGGTACGCAGATGCCGACAACGTCGGATTCAGATATTGCCAATGGATACAGGCTACTGGTCTGACAGGATGCTCAGGGGGGGAAAAGACACAAGATAAAAAGGCAAATCAAACGTCCTAGACAAGGTGAAGCACCAACTGGCCTAGCTCAGTAATTCAGGCCTGCATTTTAACAGTACAGGGGTGTACCAACACCCCTGTACTGTGAAAATACAGACCTGAATTAATTCGAATTCCACTGAGAGCAGATGACTAAAATACTACAATTCTGATCTACCCTAGGGGCGGTCAGCTCGATAATAATGGTATCAAAACTTTTTTTTTCCCTTTCAATATCAAAACTTTCAAAAGGTCATTTCCCTTTCTTTAAAAAAAAAAAAAAAAAAAAGGGAGGGAGGGGGGGAAAAAAAAAAAAAAAAAAAAGAGGTGAAGCAAAACCCTACCTGAGGGCCTTCTCTGTTTGGACCAGGTGCTTGGCAACGGAGCATTAATTCCCTTACAATCCTCATGATAATAATGATATCAAAACTTTTTCTTTTTTTTTTAATCAAAACTTTCAAAAGGCCATTGCCCTTCCTTAATAAATTAAAAAAAAAAAAAAAAAAAAAACTTGAGAGGGAGGAAAAAAAAAAAAAAAAGACGAGGTGAAGCAAAACCCTACCTGAGGCCCTTCTCTGTTTGGACCAGGTGCTTGGCAATGGAGCATTAATTCCCTTACAATCCTCATGGTACCCAAGCCGTCGATTGATGTGCCGCACCAGCTCCGGATCGTGTCCAATATATTTGTTGTAGCTGACAAAAAACACCAGAAAAACAATTCGACAAGACTTGGCAGTAAAATCGATAATTTGAAAACAAAAGGTGGCAGCCACAAGGAGGGTAAATTTCTCGATTTATGGGGGTCAAACTTGCGCAGGGGCCATGCTAATCTTCTCTGTCTCGCTCAAATTTTAACGGATGTCCCGTCCCGAAGGACAAGGAGGGTAAATTTCAAAACTGTCACAAATGTGATGAGATTGGATCCGGATCTGAACTCAATTTTCACCCTGTCGACCAAGTGTCTACTACAAGGGGAGTGAATTTCTGACAAGGGGGTGTCACACAAGCTGTCAAAGGGGGGGTGTAAATTTCAAATGTCACAAATGTGGTGACATTGGATCCGGATCTGAAGTCAATTTTAACCCTGTTGACCAAGTGTCTACAACGGGGGTGAATTTCTGACAAAGAGGGGGGGGGGTTAAATTTCACACAAGCTGTCATAAGGGGGTTAAATTTCAAATGTGACAAATGTGATGAAATTGGATCCGGATCTGAACTCAATTCACCCTGTTGACCAAGTGTCTACAAGGGGGGTGAATTTCTCACAAGGGGGGTAAATTTCACACAAGGGGGGTAAATTTCACACAAGGGGGGTAAATTTCACACAAGGGGGGTAAATTTCTCACAAGGGGGGTCATCACGAGGGGGTTAAATTTCAAATTATACGAACATAGGCAGCAGAGAAAAGAGGAAAGCGGTTGCGCAAAGACAGCGGGATAGAGAGAGGATGGGCCAGGAGAGAGAGAGAGAGAAGAGAGAGAATACCACGGAGGGAGGGGTAAAGGAGGGAAGAGGAAGCGGAGAGAGGAACCGACGTGTGGAGAACAGAGGCAAGTAGTGTAGGGGCAAAAGGAGATGCTGATGACACTTGTAATTTGTTCCGACCACAAATCACACGTATCGTCCGCATCTAGTTTTTCCAATGACGTCAACAAGAAACGGTTGCTTGCAAAGAAAAAGAAAGAAAACACGAAGTAAAAAAGGGGAAAAAAAAAAAAAACGAAAGAAAACACGAAGTGGCTGCTTGCGGAATCGAATCAATCAGCTGCTTGTCGATGTCAGAACTTAAATGTGTCCCCTGACGGCCACAACAGGGAATGCCATCAATCATCTGATACTCTTCCAAGGCGACCACCACCCTTCTCCTCCTCCCTCATCTTCGCCTATCCCCTCCCCTTTCTCTCCTGCAAACACAAATATCAACTTTGCTCTCTTCTCCCACTTCCTCTGCTCCGCAGCACTCCCATCTCCCCCCCGTCCCGCAAATCGCCCCCCCCTTCCCCCCGCCTTCTCCTCTCCTCTCACACACAGACACGAAAGTTTTGAACGACCACTTCTAGTCCCCGACTCTCTCTTCCCCTCTCCCCGTTGCTCACACCCTGTCTCTGCATTCCACTTCGCATTCTCCGTCTTCTCTATCGTACCCCCTTTCTCCACCTTCTCTCTCTCTCTCTCTCTCTCTCTCTCTCTCTCTCTCTCTCTCTCTCTCTCTCTCTCTCT